CCTACGTACACACCCAACCACCCTATTTACCTACCCATCCATCCATCCATCCATCCATCCATCCATCCATCCATCCATCCATCCATCCATCCATCCATCCGTCCACTCATTGTTTTATTTTGAAGAAACCATCCTGCTGTGCCTTGTGTTAAGTGTACTTCCTGTTTCAGTCGCACATCAGGGTTCATTTTGTCATCAGCACACCTGCGCTACATTTGCGTCACAGTTCTCATAAATTCCAGATTTTTTTTTAATTCAGATCTTCTCAGGTCTTTGCCGTTTTTGTTGCTTCAGCTGTGTTTTTATTTTCCATCCTGTTCCAGTCACTTTATTACTCACAGCTCAAACAAACAAACAAATCCATGGTACGTACATTTTGGGTTCTATTTTTGAAAGCTAAAGTTCCTTTTTTATCTTCTGGGATTGAATCCTGGGACTAGTTTCAGCTGCAGTGCGCTTTTAATCATTAACCTGAACAGGAACAAGGTTTCCACAGGTTTACCTGGTGTGACCATTGCCATAGCAATGCTCATTAATTATTTATAATCAATGATTTCTTTGTCGGGTCGGGGCAGGGGTGGGTGGGGGTGGCTGTGGAGCAGCTGAAGTGTTTTAGTGTAGATGTGGGTTAATAGAGGAGAACTTGGGCACAGTCAGGTACATGTGAGACACTGGAGCAGAGCAATCTGATGCAGATCAGGTTCACATCGTTATCACCACTTGTGTGTGTTTGTTAGCAAAATATCTCATCAATTACATAACGGATTTTAAAGAAACTCTCAGGATCTTCTCTCTATGACTGGCTATTGGATAGGACTTCAGAGTATTTTAAAAGGTTTTATTTTTGTAGCTTTATTTTTAGTTAATTTGAACATCTGCCCATAAAAAGGAGTCTCCTAATTGGCTGGCCGTGGGTCGTCCATGTAGTGTTCGTGTTTGTTTTGGAAGAAACTTGTTTAGCGCCGCCGTGCTCTCTGTGGTCGCTTTGTTCCAAAGATGACAACCATCCAATTAGCTCCGGACTCCGGCTCGGACAGAAATGATCAATCACAGCTATGTGCAGCCAGATAATTCAGACAAACTCAAAACCAAGGACTTGGAAGCAAAAGCAACATTTGATCATTTTTATTCAGTTGCARCAGTGAAGAAATCCATTTCTCAATTAGGAGCTGTGTCCCGGCGCTGCTGAAACTGGTAGCAATCTGTAATCTCTGCTGTCTCCCACTGCAACATACTTTCATCCATCACATCCTTTACACATCTCTTCTTTCCTCTTCCATCTACTGACCAATCAGAACATTGATCCGTCCTCAAATCTTTCTAATTTCAGGAAGAAATCTGACAAACTC